CAGGAAAGGTGCTGGGGTGGGATCTGTGGGGCGCAGAGCCTCCTTGTTGTTTTGAGAGGGGGGGCCTGAGTCATACTCTCTTTGATTGACAGGTGTCTCTGGTGACGAGATCATCGGAGGACATGAAGTCAGCAAGCACAGCCGCCCCTACATGGCCTACCTGCTGATTGGCAGAGAGCGCAGAAAAACCAGCTGTGGAGGGTTTCTGATCCGTGATGACTTTATTATGACTGCGGCTCACTGCAAAGGACTGTGGGTATTCCATGCCCTTTGTTCCCTTGTGTGTGTCCGTCCGTCTGTCGTCTGTCCGGCCTAAGTTGCATGTATGGATGGGTAGGCCTTTCTAACATACAGTAGGTCGGCCATTTTTAATTTGGTGTCAGTCGTGTAGTTACTGAACGGGATTTGTTTTGGTTGTTGTTTTTTTTAGCTTGAGAAAGATGTGACGTGAAAATCGCAGTTTGTGAAGTCAAATATTACGTGTGTGATGTAACGGAATATGACAGGTTATTTTAAAACCCATTTGTCTACCTGAGCTGCGGATTGTCTTCAGTGTTCAGTGTTCGGGCTTTGGGCTGAAGTATTGGAAGAGTGCAGGCTGCAAAGTTCCATTTTGGAACTGGCCCAGCTGGTCATTGCAAAGAGTGGAGAGGGTGAAGAGAAAGGGATTCATACCGGAGACGGTGCAGTCTTTAAAAGTGCTGATATCACCACAGGTCTGGTTCGAATTGGCTGATCCTGAAATGGTTCACCCGCTAAATGCCATTAAAAACCTTGGGGGGCAGAGGATGGGAAATTGAAAATTGCTCTCTGTGATGTTTTCTTTCTCTTTTTTTAAACAATATCATTTGATCCATGTGCGACTTAATGCATTATTGTTCAACTTAATTGATTATTAAAGGATATTTTAAAAGCAAACCTATCTAGTCTGAAGGGTTTGCCCCTGCAGGAGGCTGTATGGGGTCATGGTCACGAATGACCCCCTGTGCAAACGGGAGGATGGACCCTGTGCAGCACCTTAGGTGGTCAGGAGGCAAAAGGTAGCTTTCAGAGTAAACTAGACCAGAGGGCTAGACGAGAGACGTGGTCAAAGGCAAGTTCCATGGTTCGGAACAAGAAAAGCAAGGAGCTGGTTTAGAAAACTAAGGGAAGGTAAGGTAGGAGCTCCAAAGAACAACCAACACGAGGCAGGGAGCAGAGGGTTCTGGAGGGTTGAAGTGTTGTGCGAGGGAGAAGGTGCACTGATTGATGGAGTGTCGTGGTTGGCTGATTGGCTGATTGGCAGGAGTGGTGTCGTTTGGTGTGGGAACGTGATGGGATGAGGGCGTGATGGTCATTCTGGTGACGTTGTGCGAGAATGCTAATACATCACCTGTGTGTCTCACAGCACCTACACTGTTTTGCTTGGAGCCCACAACATCCTTGAGGATGAAGCCGCACAGCAGGTCATACCTGTAGAGAAGGCCATTCCTCACCCCAATTACACGAACATTAACTACCAAAACGACATCATGATGCTGAAGGTAAGACACAGGTCAAGTAAGAAAATAACACCAGAAAGCAGATTGGAGGTAAATAAAAATAAATCCACCTTTTGCTGGAAAACACATTGTTTGAATAAAGGCTACTTAATGTATTGTTGGCAATGCATTTTTGAAGAAATATTATCATATGATTATTGCATTTTTTAAATAATTTATTATTATATTAATTTAAATATTTTACAAATATTTCGAATATTGCATTTATCTGAACCTAAATGTGCCAAAGAGAGCAGGGCAAGCTCAATTGCACTGCAAGAGCCTGGTCCAGCTTGTCTTACAAGGTGTGAGCGCCGCCCTGGTGGCCACAGCGGGAATGCTCTGACGGTCATTGCTCCCTCTCCTGTGAAAAGCTGCAGAAGAAGGCGCGCCTGAGCCATGAGGTGAACCTGATTCCCCTGCCGGCCGATCAGAGCAGCGTGGGGGCAGGAGCAGAGTGCTGCGTGGCTGGGTGGGGTTCAGTCAACAAGAAAGGACGCAAGCTCTCTAACACACTGCTGGAGGTGACCGTGACTGTGAAGAGCCTGCAGGCCTGCAGGGACCACTGGGGAGAAGAGTTCAATGAGATGAACATCTGTGCTGGCGTTCCTGAGCGTGGCGTTTGTAAGGTACAGCGATGCTGCTTTTCTTTTTTTATTAACCTCTTTTCATTCCTTATCAGGTGGCAAGGGGCGCTGTTTAACAGTTCAGAAAGAGGTCAAATTGTTATGTCACACTTCCGCTGTCCTACATATACAGTAAACACTCGCTGGCTGCCCACAACTCTTTTCTGGTTTCCCTTCCTCCACTTCAACTTCACCACTGCAGCTGACTCCCTGGTTCATTCCTTGGGAGTGAGGGAGCTGGCGATGACTAAAGTATTTAATATTATTCTTTGCATTCATCAGTTCACTTTTGTCATTATAAAAATTGGACCAAACTGATTAAATGAATCTTTGTGGGGTTGTAACCACAACCATTGCTAACCACAACCTCTGCTACAGCTTTTATCTTTGTACACTGGAATACATTCAGTTAGTTCAGCTCAAAGCTTCACTCCAAACTAGCCATAGTTTTCTAGCTAAACATACCTGATCAAATATCAGGGATTCTTCTGCAAGCAATGTCTTATTATCGCTACCGATGATGTAATTTCCATGGCAAATGCTTCTGAAACGCTAATGCATCAAAGCTGTTCAGAATGTGAGGATGAAATTGCAGGCGAATTGCAATGTTCTCCTACGTATAATGCTTTCTGTTTTGCTAACCAAAGACCTCGAGGGGGAGTTTCGATTAAGTTTCCAGCCAGGCAGACAAAAAAAAATCATATTAAATAACATCCTGTCACTTGAGATTCCCAAACAGGCCACAGAGCTATAAAAATTCACAATAATTAGAATAATGGTCTGGCCCTCTAATATCTTTTGTCTAGACTGATCCATTAATGTACTGCAATGTTGATTTTCTGCCAAATACTTTGTTTACATAGGGACTCTCCTGTATTCTCTGAGTGTGTGTGTGTGTGCATTTCAGGGGGATTCTGGGGGACCCCTAGTCTGCAATGGGGTGGCACATGGTGTCGTCTCCTATGGCAGCAAGCCTTGTGAAAAGAAGCCCAGTGTCTATACCAACATCTCTGCCTTCATCCCGTGGATTAAAGACATCCTGGGCAAAAACTGAGCTTTCCATGAAGAGCAATGCTGCACAGGGACACATTTTTTTTTACACCTAGCTGGCTGGCAGTCTTTGTGCAAAAGCCTGCCTGTGAAAAATGCCTCATCGAATTGAAATTTTGAGATTGTATCTTATTTGCAACACATCTTGCTTGTCAGATCCCTGTCACCAAGTGTATGTGTAAGCTTACTTTGCTTCAAATAAAGCTTTTTTATGAATTGCACTGTGATGATGCAGTCTGGCCTCCTGTCCTCCAGTTTGTCCTGCTGTCTGAGAATTTGAATATCCGTTTTAATTGTTTGTTGATTTGGGAATTAAGCAAAGAGCTGTGCATTCCTCATCACCATCAGGGGTTGTATTACAGATGGGAAAAATCATCATTGATATACAAGTTTTAGTTTTGCTATTGTTAACATTGTTTCTATAAGTCTGTCTTAAAAATAGACCAAGGGTAAAAGGCTATGAAACACTTAAGCTATATGACAATAGGGAAAAATCTGGAGAAACTCCTGTACATGTAAAGCTGGTGGAGTCAAAATGTAATCGCCATGAAGCCTATTTGACCATCCTGTGCTCAGATCAGGTCTGATTGCTTGCTGAAACTTCAGAATGAGAGTTCTGCCTTGTTTCTTGAAAGCTGAGGGGATACGGCCGGGTGCCTGAGAGTTAAACACATACGGTCATGAGAAAGGTTGCCTATTTGGTTGCTAGCAATGAATTCATCTGAGGATCTCGTCCAGCCATTTGCCGAAAGACGCCACAGTATCAACGACATGTCTGGGCAGCTTGTTCCACACTCCCACCACCCTTTGAGTAAAGAAGTGCACCCTGTTCATAGTTTTAAGAGCACTTCTAGTGGTCCTCTGGTTCAAAACATGGGGAAAAAAATCTTACCACCACATACCATCAGCACGTGTTTCCTGAGATGAAAACCCCCCCCCCAACTCAACAGGGTTTTGGACATGTGTAAGACAAGAAATAACACAATCCCCCTCTTTCCTGCCAGCGCAGGTCGGATCTTGGTCAGAGCATTCTAACTTGTCACACACCCCAACGTAACGATGACGCCACTGGTGGCTCAGCATGGCTGGCTCAGTGGAACATTCCTTCTTTGTATCCTTGTTGGAACGCTGAATGGAAAACTAGCAGGAAGAGGAGTGTGTCCATTCCAAGCCCCATCCTGAAAGCGCGGAAGAGTCAACAGTGATGAGTCACGTGACTCTCTGACGAAAACAGGTCCTGCCTTCCACAGTTCCAGCTCTCTCACCATGTGCTGCTTACCCTGTGAAAAACAGGTTGGTTTGAGGTTTTTCTGCAGAAATGTAGCACTCTGATACAAAAATCCCCTGATGTGGCATGCTGGTACTCACTCAGACTGTGGGAGAAAATGTGCTGTCTTTTTTTTTATTTTGAAGATAAGAAAACTACTATGTGCTGTCAAAAATGACACTTTCACACACTGCTTCTCTTCCTAATTCTACCCGTTTCAGCTTTGATTACTGCAAACAGTATCCATCCATTTAATTACTGACGGCTTTACCCAACTTAATTCTCAAGGAATCTGGAGGCTATCCTGGCAAGCAATGGGCCCAAAGCAGGATACACTAGACAGGACACACCAGTCCATTGCAGAGTGCACGCACACACACACTCAAACCAGGGCCAGCTTCTCCAGAAGCCAATTAACCAACCAGCGTGTTTTCAGACTGTGAGAGGAAACACATGCAATCACAGGGAGAACATGCAAACTGCACACAGGCAGCACCCCAGAACTTGAACCCAGGACTCCAGTCCTGTACACCAGCAATTGTACCCACTGTGCCTCTCACGAATGCAATAATTTACCACAAATATAGGTTTATTTATTGTTTGCCCGGTGGTGCTAAAGTAATGAAAACCACACGCACAACGTTTATTAAGGCTTATTTTCTTTCATAACATTTATTTGGAGAAGGAAGTGAGCTCCCTCATGAGCGGTCTCAGTTGTTGGCCAACACGTCTCTGGCCCAGTCCAGGTACATGGCGACTTTGGTGAAGACGCTGGGGAAATATCCGCAGGGCTTTCCCCCGAAAGACAGGATGCCAATCGCCACGCCCCTGCACACCAGCGGGGCTCCAGAATCCCCCTGAAATACACACAAGCGACCAGCACACCTGGTGTCAAGATCCCCTGTGTAAAACAGCACTGCTCCTGAAATAGACCTGCTTCGAACCTGTGAGAGCGCACAGCGAGGATACTGGCGTTCTCTCTCGTTGCTGCCAGTCCTCGTGTTTGATCTGTGAAGGGCAGAGCTGAGAAACAGTAATAGCAGATTGTGGCTGAGTCTCAGCCGGTCTGAGTCTCACGTACACGCAGAGCCTGACGAAGAGCTCAGACAGGGCAGGAGCTGACCGACGGGGTGTCTGGTGTGGGCGTACCGAGCAGCCGCCTTTCAGGGGTCCAGCGGCGCAGACCTTGTACTCGTTGAACTGTCGCCCCCAGGTCTGGGCGCAGAGTCTCCTCACCACGGTGACGTTGACCTCCTGCAGGGTAGGGGACGGCTTCTCCCCCTCGGTGTCCATCGCTCCCCAGCCTGCCACAGAGCAGGACCTGCCCACCCGGACGTCCCGGACTTTCTTGGGGAGGGGCAGGACCCCCACCGCGCTGTTCAGGGTGGCGTTCCACCTCAGCTGTGAAGAAACAGTGGGAGCAAGAGGCGTGAAGCAGGAAGAGCTCACTTCTACCCCCTTTACAACAACCCAAGCATCACTTCCTCCTTGCAGTTAGAATTCTGCACCATCGCCTGTCCATCCCCAGCCAGCACAAGATAAGAAGCCCCCCCACCTTCAGAAGCATGATGTCATTGTCCAGCTCCCGGGGGCAGAAGTCGGGGAAGGGAAAGGATTTGGCCACGGGGATGATCTGCTGAGAGTTCTCATCCTGAACCATATTGTGAGCCCCCAGAATTGCAGTTATGTTGCTGTGGGTGAGAGAGAAGAATCGGTTCTGTTGCTCTTCAGCTAGTCAGCTCTGAAGACAGCCCTGATCCAAGAAACACATCACAACCACACCAGGTACGACGAGCACCTCTACAGAGAAACCCCCATTGCACTCCTAAAACCCCTCCCTATATAAATCTGTGCAGGAGTGGGAGATCGAGCCCCACGGAGGGTCAGCTTAAGACACTCCTGCAGATCATGAGTCAGAATACAAGTGATTGTTTTCGGCTCTACTCCTTTCTGTTTCGCCACAGATCGCAACACCCCAGCCTCTGGGGCTTTGCAAGAAATTCAAAATAGACACATGGTCTGGTTGCAGAGGGTTAGCTGATGCAAACTGAAGAAGATGTGACTAACTGGGGGGGAGGTTTAAAACGCATTTCTGAAGCACACGAGCACTCCTGCACCTCCTCTGTCCCTTCATGTTGATGTCAGATTCTCTTTTTTCATGGGCCTAAACACAGAAGAGGCCTTTCAGATTCATCTGTGTCATTGGCCTCTGACAGCCACAAAGTCCCACAGTGACAGCTCAGCACTGACTGTAAGAGCTGAGGTCTGGGAATCGGTCTGTACTTACTCTGAACTGCAGTGGGCTGCGGTCATGATGAAGTCGTTGCGGACAAGGAACCCCCCGCAGCTGACACACTTCGTGCCCCTCACCATGGACAGGTAGGCCATGTAGGGGCGACTGTGGGGGGTCGCCTCACGCCCCCCGATGATCTGCGCCCCCCCTGGTGACACAAAGAGATGGAGACTCTGGGATGCCGCCGAGACCTTGCGAAGTAAATGATCTTAAAAAATAAATCTCCTTTCTCTCTTTTGTCTGCCTGCTGGCTTTTTCCAAAGATCCCAGGGGAGTAGTGACAGACAGAACAAGACAGGGGTTCCCAGCCTTGGGCCAGGTGACCCCCCACACCTGCTGGTTTTCATTCCAGACCACCTGCATCATACAATTAAAGCCTTACTTGATTTAAGAAGTTGCTTCAGTTGCATATTTGCATTGTGCAACTAGTCCCAAGTTTGGGATTTTATTTCCCTCACCAAATACGTTGTTTAAGAGCTGGGAAGAGCTCAAATTCATCTTATTCCTATCAAGTCAATGAAGGGTTTGACTGTGTATGCGAGGGCTGAAACAAAGACCAACAGGCGTGTGGGTCACCAGGGCTGGAATTGGGAACCGCTGGGATGAGGTGACGTGTGAGTGTCTGGACAAATCACCCCCAAGTGCTCGTGAGGTCAGTAGTACAGGAGGTCAAAGGTAAAGGCGGTGTCATCACTACACTACACAGAAGGAGCAGTTTTCAAAAGCTAAACCACGCCGAAACACAATCTTACCACTTAAAAAGTACAGGAAGAAAATCTGCAGAAGAATACGAGAATTATTTTTAGGTAGAAAATGACACAATAAGACATCTTCAGCCCTCCAAAACCACAGGGTGCGGTCCTGCAAATTTCTCAGATAGTTCCATTTGCTGCAGGTTTAAATAGAGCACAGTGAATTGATCAGGAAGGTTAATTCCACCCTGAATTGGGGCTCTGAAATATCACCACCTTTCTTTCTTACATCTCAGCGGTGAATTAACCTCTTCCTCTTCTTCTGCATCCTGCACGCTGGCACAGCTCCCTGCTCTAACCATTTCAGAATGAATCGGTGACTTCATCAGAGAGAAAAAAAAATCTTCAAAATTCATGAACAGAATTCAAAATGCTCCTCACACATCAGCACACAAGTTTCAAAATTGACACTGAGCTCAAATCAAAATGATCTGGAATCTCAAAACGCTACCATGCTTATATTTCTCTTTTTTTTCCCTTTACGTGCGCAGATGCTGAGTTTATGTTGATTAATCTGTATGATAAATTGTGGACAATTGTCTTCATTTTCACAGCCGTGCAGACGTTAGACGTCTGAAATAGCATGTAGTGAGCACATTTATGCAAAATCCTGACAACCTTTGCCGTGATTGATACAGAATTCAGGAGTGAAGAAAGCACGTTTTGTCATTTAGCAATATTTAATAATGATTCTGAATTTAAAAATGTGAGCTCAAATTGAACAGCATATGAGCCACCGATGCAAAACACTGGCCTAGCTCGTTTGTCACTTTTCTCAAATCGAATCGAACTGACTCATTGGCAGAGTTTGCCTCTAGACATCTATAAAGTTAAAGCAAATTTTTTTTACTAGAAGAGGAATGATCTTCAGACCTCAGCATAAAAGGTCTGTCAAGACCCAACTTGAAATTTCAGAGGACAATTGAATAAAGAAAGAAACCAAGTTGCACAGGACTGTATTTAACAAGTGATTAATTTCAAATCCCTTTTGAAATAAGCACATATATTTAATAACGACGCCACAAGGCGTGGCTCTGAGGCGGCCTGTCGGGTATCGAGGTACGATGAGGCTGAGTTGAAGCTGCCTAGCTGAGAGCCAGCCCCCCCCAGGCCACAAGACGAGGAGACCGAGACCCCCCTGGAGGACCAGGAGTGACCAAGAGGCAGCTGTACAGGCGTGGGGATGCAGGAAGTGAAATGTGAGGTAGAGATTTGCATGTGAAATATATACGGCTTTGAGAAATGACATGGAGAATCATTATGATTTAGAGCAGCTGGGACTGAAGTAACATGATTGTCATCATCCATCCCAAACTTAGGTTGGGGGTAAAAATAAATACATTTTAGCGTGCTGTCTTTTGTCCTGTTTTTTTTTTTTTAAACAACTTTGTTCATTAAGCGTTGTACATTTTTTTTTCTTGACAATGAAATTAATAACAATGAAATTAATACAAAAATACAGGTACAGTGACAGCTTCTTCAGAGTATGCCATAAAAAATGTACATCAATTACCAATGTATCTATCAGGTCTATAGTGTAATTGTAATTATGGTTAAGGAGTATATATTGAGCTCCTCTTTTAAACCTAATGCTTCCAATGGCTTATTCCACAGTTCTTTAAAACACTCCAACTCACCTTTTAGGATGAAGCTTTTCTAAAGAGATCAAGTCCCTTATTTACAATTCCCAGAGGAGATTTCCTTAATCCAGCATCAGGATCTACTGGATTACCTCTCTGTGATTCTGTAACTGAACAGGCGTGACTCCTAAAACGCACGTAAGACGATCTACCTGCACTGCCTTGACCAAAGAGATTTTTTTTTGCATGCCTCCCTCCAGAATTTCTGAATATGTGTGCATTCCCAGAAACAACGGAATTGTGTTTCAACCTGGGTTTTACACTTAATGCAATTGGATGATGTGCTTGTGTTCAGTTCGCTGTAGATCTACGGAGATATATATATATATGTTCTATTCTATGTAACAGATATAATATATCTTTTCTGTGAAATGTGCATGACTTTTGATGGTGTTTTTAAGCTACTTTAAGCATTAGTCATTCTACGTGCAAATTCACTCTTCTTTTATATCCGCTTTTCGGTATATTTTGATTTTTTTTACCCCAAGTGTCAAAACTGCATGAGTGTAAGTTTTCACACTAAGCTGAGCTGTGCAAGCTAAGCACAATTTTTTTTTACGTTGCATGATGGTTTCATTTGACTTAACTCAAGCTGAGTAAAGGAAAAGAAGAAGAGATTTACCTGCAAGATAAATGGAGAGAGCCCAAACCACAGCCACAGAGACAACTTTCATGCTGCAGAATATGATCTAAAATTGAAGAATGTGTGATCAAGCTTTGGGCTCACTGTCTTCTGCTCTGAGCCGATCACCGACTTCTGCTGCAACAGGAACTTCTGAAATACCGCTGACCACAGACAAACAAGTCACCCGCACAGAACTTAACTATTAAAATTCAGAAAGCAACTTGACTATTAAAAGTCGGAACGCAAAAGACACTGTGAAAAGAATACAATGTTTGGAAGGCTTGTATTCCTTTCCTAACGCCTAATTCCCAAAGTTGGTTCTCTATCACTCTGGCTTCTAGTATCTGAGAAACAGGCACAGGCGAATAGCTTTTCTGAACAAGAGCAAGCAAAAGGGGGAGATCTGATTTAGTGTGCAGGCAGTTCAGCACTGCTGCTTCACAGTTCTCGGGTCCTGGGTTTGAACTCAGGCGAAGGTGCTTTCCGTGTGGAGTTTGCATGTTCTCTCAGTGTTCGCATGGGGTTTCTCTTTGTGCATTTGCGTTTTGGTTCCCCCCCCCCCCTGCCCCCTGCCAAAAACACGCTGGCTTGGTTCATTGGGGTCGCTGTGTGTATGTATGTGTGATCACGTGTGTTTATGTGCATTTGTGTTTTTGCGAGTCGTATGTGTGTGTTTATCTGTGTGTATGGGTGCTGATCCGTGTGTGCCCCACCCTTGCACTCCATTCCCCTGGTTTTCCAAGATCCGTGCCAGGAATAAGTGCCTTTCTGAAGAAGGCCGACAGGAGTCACTAGCTATTGATTTTATAAAAAAAGAAAAATCAATATTGGCCTATCTTCCGGAAAAGGCATCTCAGCATCTTTCACCAGACTCCTAAGCAAAGATCCTGCAGCTGGTTAACTGATACAGAGTAAATGGCAGGAGTCTATTTTTAAGTAGTACAAAGAGAGGGAAGAAAACATGTCTTGATATCACTGTTTTAATACACTCGCTGGCCAAAATATTAGGAAAATTTGGAACTCCGTCTCAAATGAATGGGCTCTCTCGGCACATCACAAGCTTGAGCAACTTGAGACAGGGCTTCCACTGCCTCTCCTGGCCTGAACAATCCCCACCCACATCTGGTGGACTGGACTCACTGCACATGCGGAGCAGCCCTGGGCAGCAGATACTTCCATGTTGCGTGAAGCCCAGGCCCATGTCCTGCTCAAGCTGTTGTTGCCACTTGCAGAGGCTCAACACATCATTCAACAGGGGCTGCTGGTGTAATCGTACCCTGCTGGGCAAATGTTCACGATATCTTCATTGTCCGGTGCCTTTATTTTTCCGTCTTGACACAGGAAACCCGATTGTGTGCCCAGTCTTCCGCGGTGATTTAAGCCGGTTTATCTGAAGATAATCCTGATAACATTCCATGTTTTGCTGGATACAAATTAGTCTTAGTCTAATGTGTAGGGAGCATTTCACTGGCGAATGCGATGGACAAGCAGCACGGTGCTTCATGATGGCTGCTTGTGTACAGCTGTGATCATTCCAATCAACGCGATCAATCAAAGATCAATGACAGCCCTGTTTCCTCACCTGATCATCACTATATTCATTACAAAGTGAGTGAATTGTTGGTTCTCTTAAAATATACAGATTGTAACCCCTCAGAGTACCTATGAGTACTAATGCTTTTTGTGAAGAATCAATAGAAGATTTTTCATTGGCTTTCTTTACCACTGTTTATGTGGTGGTGAAGTTATAACCGTTATAGTGGTTTGATATTAGGATTTCAGACAGCAGAAAATATAGTTGGATACAGAACAGGACTGACAGGTGTGGCAGAGAATTGAAACCTGCTGTTTTCATTTAGTTCCTTAAAGTACACTCACTCTTATCTCAAAAACTGAGGGAAACCAGCCACACAGATTAAACCAAAATGTCTCCACAATGCATTTAACAGTAAGTGATGAAACTGATAAGACTGATCCGAAGAGGCCAACATTTGACACAATCTACTGCCAGTGAGTTACCAAGACGAGGGTACAGATTAGACTCAGACTTCCAAATCCAGTAATTGTAAGTGGTTGGAGGTATTTGAATTTGGGATGGGCAGGAGGGTCCAAATTAGAACTGAGTCAAACGTGGGGTTCAGTTTTCGTTATTTAGAAATTAGTAGCACAGTGTCATTTGTACCAGTTATTTCTGACCCTATAGCTGAATGAACGTAGATCAATGATAAGTGAACAGTGCCCTTTTTTTTCTGCAGACCATGAAATCTCATCTGTTGGGGAACCAAACCTTTTTCTAGCCAGCTGCGCAACACATTTGTGTCATTTCAGGTTATGTTGCTCAGATTAAACACGGAAATTTGAAAGCAGGACTTTGTTCAACTTCAGGAGCATTTTGGATATGTGTAAAACAGACAGCAGGATGCGTTAATGATGAGTTGCTTCACTATATAAAGACCGATCTTCAATTCCCAGTAATCGCCTTGCTGTGTTTTTCTCTTCAGTACTTTATTGCTTGATCTCTCTAGAAAGGGTCTTTAGAACCGGCAGGGGTTTGGTTTTTGGAGAGGAAAGCTTTTCCTGTTTGTTTTTCACTCAGTTCGGAGAAATGATAAGGCCTGAATCATTTTAAGAGGGCAAGAGATCATTTGATGACTGCATGGATCGGATGAGATGCGAGAACACAATCAGATGGTGCAACAGATTAAATAAGTGCGATGTGTGCTGAGCACTTTTCGACAACGAGAGGCTTTCATCAGCACCCAGAAGGCAAAAGGCAAGACAGGAACGCCTACAAACATCCACCGGGAATGATCTGAGTATGAAAACAGTTTTAGAGCAATGTGGTAGTCTAAAATGATCATTAAATATTTAGATAATCTCATTGTATATATATATAAATGTTTGATCTTATATATGACTCAAATGACAAATAAAACCTTTAAAGATAAAGAATTTGCCATGCACACAATTAAAGAAACATCAATTCATTCATTTTTATTCAGTCACAGAGCAGAACACACTCTTTCTGATGATCTCTTTATTGCAGATTAAGGTCTGGGATGTGCCTGTTCTCTGGCTGCATTATGTAATGAGAGGAAATGAAGTGTTTCTTCAGTGGGAGAGGGGTAAGGAGATCTGGGATGTGGGAGCATTGACTAGGTGTCGCATGAGGACAGTTTCCTGAGAGTATTTTCACCCTCCTGCCACATCAAACAGACTGCAGAGATCAAGAGACTCCAGGTGTGACACAACACCTGGCACAAGAGGGAGCATGCACACACACACCAAGCAGCCAGGCAGGAAAGGCTTAATTCACTCTGTGAGGCCTGCTAAAGGTGTGATATCTCTATACACATAAAAGCCCGAACCGGATCACTCTGCTGTCTGTTGGGAGTGATCTATACTTAATAATTGCTGTACGTGATGATCTTTTGGATCTGAATGATGGAGGCAAGGTGGATATTCAGGTTTAAATCAGTGAGAAGCTTTATTAGGAATGGAGATTTTTGCATTTGGAAATATTTTAGCTAGACAGGTTAGCAAGCAGGACATCTGGAATACAGCTTGAGTACAAAGGACCATTTTACAAACAGGGCACCCAGGCAAGAGGACTCTGTTGACAGCTACAAATGTGGCTTTATGCTATAGGCTGCAACAGGAAAGCTCAGTTCTGCGCCAGTGTCTCATTGATCCAGGGCTCGTACACAGAGATCTTGGTGTAGATAGTGGGCATCTCTTCACAGAGCTCGCCTCCTCTAGAGACGATGCCATATGCCTTCTCTTCACAGACCAGGGGTCCCCCAGAGTCCCCCTGAAATACACACAGATGGTAGGACATAAGGACGGCAAACCTGCATCTGTAACAAGCATATTAACACTGTACACTTTAAGACTGCAAGACTCTTATTCGATTGATGGTCCCTATGGAAAACGTTAGTAAGAACTATAAGCGTGTCTGCAAACTACCAACTGGATTAATTAATCAGTACACATGATTTTACAATAGGTGCGACGAGCTATCAAGATACCAGAACAGCGCATGTTGTTTCTGTACCTTACACACTCCATGGTCAGGCATGCCCCCACAGATCTTCGTCTCATCGTACTGATCTCCCCACCTCTTCCTGCACTGCTTGTCACTCAGCACGGTCACATTAACCTCCTGGAGTTCGGGAGATGCATTTCTCCCCTCCCTGTCCACAGCCCCCCATCCCGCCACTGAGCACACAGTCCCGGGGGGCACCCGTCTCCACGGCACAGGAATCAGGCCCACGGCCACCCCGAGTCTGGCCTTCTTCTTCAGCTGCGAACGGGAGAAACAGCCGTTTCAGATGAAACCAAACACAGATGACAGCAAACACAGCCCAGAGGCCCAGACACTCTGATACCAGCTGTGTGTTACTGTCGGGAATTTCTCTCAAGGCCACAAGTTCCGCACAGGCATTGCAACAACGGAAAAACATTTTTGTGACAACGGCTGAGATTAAGAATTCAATCTGCACGTCCATCATAATTCAGGATCTTGGCGGTTCGATAGTGATCTTCTGCTCAACAGATTCCTTTCACTTCTGAAGTAACCAGCTGTCGCAAAAAGAGCTTGTAATTTCCATCTGACAGGCGGGTGAAAGTTTTGTCTTAATGTAGGGCAAGTAAGACACCTGGAACAGGTTTGGTCTTGTGTGCATTAGCAGGACCTGTTATATATGTGCATGCAAGAGGTTGGGTGTTTTTGCACAAGTGAGGAATCACTATGGGCTGAAATGAACAATTTAATTTCTTGGGGAGGTGCTGATTCTAACATACCATGGGATTGCATGTATTTAGAGTAGTAATTTCACTTGTGCAAGTTATGATCTGGAGTGCTTACCTTCAGCAGCATGATGTCATAGGTCCCGTTGTTGTAAAGGGGGTGGGGAAAGGACTTCTCCACACCTATGATCTGCTGCGTCTCCTCATTTTGAAGGACGTTTTGAGCCCCAAGGAGTGCAGTGAGTTTGCTGTGGACAAGAAGTCTGGTTAAAAACAAATACAGGTGTGTTTTAATATCTGTGCTTGCCTGCCTGTGGTTTCTCCTTGTATTGCTAGAGCTTCTCCTTTCTCACAATCATCAATCAAGAGGTGATAATATTTGGACTCCAGACGGAGACATTCTCTCCTGGTCCTGGAGGGCTGTAGCTCACTAGGTGTCATAGGTGCTCACAGTCCTCGATTAGTAAAAGCCTGGACGCCGTAAAGACAAGAGCTGTTCACGGCTAAGTGAACAACTGATTCAACGCGAATCATTAGGAGGCCAGAGTTGAATCAAAAACAGAAGCAACAGTTCCCCTCCAGGACCAGGACTGAATATCAGCGGATACAAAGGTGGACCACTTCAGGCCCATTACCTACCAGTTCAATCCCTGCATGTATTGTATATATATCCACCCTATACATTTACAGTATATATATATTGTAGCACTTTCGGGTTCACGTGGGTATGCACCCTCACCGCTGCTGTGGCTTCAGGTCAGCACCCCCACCGCTGAGGACTTGAACCCGAGCCTGCGGCGTCACCCAACAGGGACCCAGCCTCTTGAGCTAAAGGGAGATCTCCCCTCAGCCCAGCGGCTGAGGTCCCTGCTATTCACAGGGAAGGGTGGTGACGTCACCATGCTGGCGAGCCAGCTCGCACAACCTGTAATGTCGGCCGTATGCGTTACAGTATATATTTCAAGTGTCCTCCCACAGTCCAAAGACATGCTGTGAAGCTTAATGGGAGTCTCTACATTGCCCCCTGTATGAGTGTGTGAGTGAACGGTGAGTGTGTGCCCTGTGATGATGTAGTATCCCGTCCAGTGTGAATCTTGGTTTGTGCCCATTGACTGCCAGGTTAGACGCTGGCTCACCACGATCCTGGATGGATATAGCTAAGGTAGATATACAGCAGGTGTATAAATGCATAGAGGGGGAATTACAATGAATGCTTACTTTCCATCACAGTGTGCTGCCGTCAGGACGAAGTCTTCTCTGATCAGAAAGCCTCCACAGCTTGTATGATGATCACTTCTGTTTATTATTAAGTAAACCATGTAGGGCCGGCTGTGGGGTTTGGCTACAGCTCCTCCAATGACCTTCTCTCCAGAGACACCTGTCAGGCATACAGAGCTGAGCTCAGTCCCCTCTCAGCACACTGGGGGCATAGGGGGTGGAGGGAGGGGGTGTCTGGACCCACTGTGTAAAGACCCTACACCCAGTCAGACTCAAGTACAAGCACTTCTGTAATCCACACAGTCTGGCAAAAACACTTCTCTCTTTTCTTTGACAGCAGAAATCTCTGGGCCTGTTTGGACTTTATCTCTTAAAAACATCGTCAATAACCTGGCATCTTGACTCTGCGTAAGAAATGAAAACACGGCATACAGGAACTCAGCAATAAATGTGATATCCTGCCGTCTTCCTGAAGGACATCTGAAACAGCACCTTAGCGGCAAATTTCGATCGGAGCATGTTTTATGACAGAGAGTACACCACTGGCGCAAAGGCTGAAGCCGATACCCTGATTTCTTTCACGAAACAGCTGGGGGAGATCCTCAGATCAGTTACCTACTAACTACCAAATGACCTACTGCAAATGAGCTGAAAGACCTCCTCTAATTTATAATCGTCCTCATGTTGGAAAATTCAGAGGTTTAAGTGGGACCCAGGTTAATTGTGGTCAGTTGAGGTAACAATATGCACCTCCTTTTCAAGCGAGGGAAACGATATATCCTGGTGATTTGTAGATTGAAACACAGAAATTCTGTGGGCAAAGATGGGGCTGTCACAGGATGGCTTATGACAAATTATTATCATTTTGGTTTGAGGTCTGAAATTTAAACACACTTATAGATAATATTCACTTACAGAAACAGCTTTGATAAGGTTGCAAACATGAACAATATATTAAAAAGGTATACTTTTTAATACAATCCTAATTTTCATTGGGATTTGCTTATGCCAAAGTAAAAAAAATGCAGTGCAACAATGCATTTAACAAGTGGAAAACATCGACAAAATGCGCAGCATATTCTGCAGATGAACAGGTTAAAAGTGTTATGTCAAATTGAAAGGAAGACACAGGCAATCAGAAAAGAAACAGTTCACATATTGATTCCTGGAAATCGAGTGTCACATCAGCTAATTATTAAGAATTGATTACTGTCCCTCCTCTGTCTTCCAAGGAAAGGTATGGAAAATATGTGTTGCTACAGACATTATATACTGTATTTCTCATCCAGTTACAAAGTGATTTTATAAAGGAAAATTCCATGTTGTAATCCAAAAGCGAGTTTCAGTTTTCTTCAGTAATGAAACTCATTTCTTTGCCAAAAACATGGTAGAAAAATACTGGCCTGGTGTCAACTCTAATCATCTGGGGACTGTTCTTGCTTCTTTCAATGTTGTAAAACTGCGATCGTCGTGCCTTCTGCTGAGTCAGATTCTATATAAAGTACCCAGCCTGACGTTATATGATGAAGTCCTTAGTTGGAAATCTGAACTGTCCACTATGCTGGGAAGACACGTTTAGAATCTATAGTTCCATCGGAAAGAGCAGATCGGCAATGCTGATCTCAACTCTGAAGGCTGATATTACAGATAACAGGAGGAAAATCTGTATGCTGGAGTAGTAGATGGGGCAAACACTTGTCTTATTATACATGTACACATTGTAGAATGTGATATTTTGAGCTCTGAGCTGCTTGTACGCTCAAAAGGATGGACAGTTTGTCACTTTGGTCACTGAAAGTCACAATAGCAGGCTTTCTGTTCAGCCCCTACGTCAGAAATTCTTTTGAACTCATGCACATTCATTCAGATGTCCCTGCGGGAGCTGATGCATTGCACATGCTAAATCTGCGTTGCTCAGACGTGAGTCACCTAAAAACTGTCCAACAACAATCAACAGTAAATCCTAAACATAAGACCCAATAATGCAACTCACAGAAACCCAGGCCTGTCGCTTAGCTGGCCCTGTAGCTCTGGCAGAGTGCTGTCTGTGAAGCAGCAGGGTTACATCCTACAGCATCTGACATTAGAGGTCTGAAATTGTGATGCAATTGGGACCTCAGTCTAAAACCATGAGCACAACAAGTGGCGCCTCTGTTCTCACACCCAGAAATGTTAAAAACCCTCAGCAGCTGTGCGTTTGGGGAAGAAGATGCGAACGAGCATAGCTACCTTGAATTGCAGAGAAGGCAACAAGAGCCACAAGGGAGCAGAGAGTGACCATGCTGGACGTCTGCGCTGGTGCCGTTGCACGCTCAGATCAGGAACTTCAGCTCTGCCTCGAACTGCCCAAGGTTTATATACACACACACCCACAAGAGGGAGCAGGAAATGCAGTGGTTTGACTGAGAAGACGCTGGTGCTGGGTCTGCCCCACCTGTAGGCCATGTACCCGGCCATCCATGACACACCCTCCTATTTTGCTGCTTTTTTAGGTGTTAAGTGTTTTATTTTTGTACTGGCCCTTCCAGTTGGTCATTTCAGGTTAAAAACCAGCCTGGACTGCCAGCAAAGTACGATATGTCTTGTACATTCCTACAGGCATTTAATCTGCCATATTATGGAAGAAAAAAAGTTTATTAACAATCAGCTTTGAAGTAAGAGTAAGAGAAAATATTCTGTGGATGTGTAGCCTTTTTGGATAGGACTACCTTTGGGATTCTTAAAATGTAGTGAACTATAAACTCCATATTACAGTAATTAGCCTTTACATTAGCAATCAACCGAGAGAGAAAAACACAGCACACTAGAGGAGCAGTCTGAATTCACAAAGACATGATTTAGAAAAAAATCATAACTCTGGAGTTGATAGCACTCCCAACTGTTATCTCAACAGAAACAGAGATCCTAAAGCGCCGGAAGTTGAAGTCAGACACTATCTTCTCGATCTTATTTGAGACTCGAAGCTGGAAGGCCATACTAATGACAGTGAAAACGTCTTACAAGAAAAAGGGATTGAACGTCTCCAAAAAGATTCCTAGCTCTTCGGCTCCGGTAAAAATGACGTTCTGTACAGTATGGTTAGGGCTGTAGTCCTGGTCTCGCATTATTATTTTAAAACAGAATGCAGAGCCATGAACAAAATGCAGTGGGGAAAAACAACAAAACTTATTTGATTATCTGCGCGCGCGTTTTCTCCCCAATATCTGCGAACACAAAATCACGATATTAATGAAAAGATACTCGGAAAGTTTTCTGAACAGGATGCTAAGAATCGGCATCAGTCTAAAAATAGGTGATAGTGCAACTGTGGTCTAGAGATCGCTGAGGTTGGGTTTTCGTGCTAAGTAATGAAAAAAAAAAAGAACAAGGGTGTTGAACAGGATTCGGCTGGTACATTTCCTCACAGAACAGGCCTCTTTACATCCTGTTCGACCGAAATAGGGATTCTCCTATTTTTCGCTCTGCGTTCAAAGACGTTCACTTAGATTAATCTCCTCCCAGAACTCCAGCTGCATAAATAACACACGCCGCTACTGTACTTTCAAGTCAGGTCGTGGACAATATCGCTGTTTAAGGCAGGTTTGTCTCTTCCTGCGTATACTAATGTATAATTATCATTATTTTTTATTGTTAATCATTTCTATTCCTGCTTTGGATCTGATTGCTTACATAAAGCGGTATCTGGTAGGATACTTGTTTGCGTGACATTCTGCGCCCCGCCCCAAAATAAATACATTGAAAATCTTATCAAATCCTAATTCCGATTTCCACTTGAGAAGACATGCAGATGCGTTTCTTGTCTTAATTTCATTTTCATCCTTTTCTTCCTCTGTCTTGCGCCGTGTGACATAAAACAGAGATGAGGGTTATGAATGGGTTGTCTTCGAAAATGATTCTAGTTTTGCTTTTCTTTCACATCCTCGCCGGTTCACAACTTTTGCAATATTGCATTCGTTGTTTTTTTTTTTTACTTTGTTCTTTTCTACCCCAGAGACAACAAAAGCAATATGGTTCAGGGTTAGACTGTGTTAATGCTGGTGCGGTCCCAACGCAGCTCAAGTATTTAGAGATAACGGGCTAAACTAAAATAGCGAGGGTTCGGGTTGTGTCAAGGTGTACCAATCAAAACCTTGTACCTCCCCCGGTGGGAAAGTTGGGGAGTAGGTTAATGGGGACGGTGAACCTGGATGACCTTCGACCTCCGTGTAAACTGACAGCTCGGTTGAAAGTTATTCGCAGTGAGAGATCTTCGGGCCTGTTTTTTCTAACCCCCCCCCCCCCCCCTTTAAATGCCACCCCCGCCCCCCCCCCCCCTTTCCGTACATCAAAACGAGGGAGTCAACCAGAATCTGGAGGTTGGTAGCTGATTTTTTTGTTTTGTTTTTTTTTGGACACGTGGACGGCAGGAGCTGGCCTCTCCGAGCCGCGGCGTGCGTTTGGACGGGCCGTCTCCCCTGTCGGCTCACTCGGAGAGGGAGCGCCGCAGATCCTAATCTCATTTTCCCACCCCCGTCTCTCGGTTTCATCGCCCCCGAGTCTGTGCACGCAGGCGGGTCTCCGGCGTGATGAGAGGACAGATGTCGGCAGGAATGCTCTGTCTCTCCGCTCTGTCGGGCTCTTCAATGTCATCGCAGCGGTGCTCGAAGGGCTCTCTCCCCGACAAAGGGGGACGCTAATGCCATAATTGGTGTGCCTATTGACGAGGCGAAAAATATCTTTTTTTGTGTGTGTGTGCGTGCTGCCGTGCCTGCACCCGTTTTCACTAGAGCCAAAATCTGAACAGTGACTTTCCTTCTTGTCGATGCTTCACTATCGTGTGCTCAGCCGGCCTCTCTAGGTAGCATTTCGCCCACGCTTCAAGCGCGGTTTCTAGAGAAAGCACCCCCTGTTAAACGGCGCACGTTGATTTGAGTAGTTGAAAAACGAACCTGAAACAATCTCTGTATTAAAATACAAGACGCGGCGCGGCGACATTATTGCACTCATATCAAAACTGTTAAATAATGGAAGCAGCATCGATCGCAGTGTTTGTACATTCGTTTGACCGCTAGTACGTCTGCATCTGCACATGCAGCTAGGTGTATCAGTCAGATAGAGCCCAAGGATAGGGACATTGGTGAGGAGTGATTTGTGTTACAACTTTGAACTTCTCGGGTGAAATGTTGTGTTGAAGAGGGCGCTCTCCTACCTCCAGTGTTCTACATTCATGGCCATTTCACCGCTCTGAATGTGTTCGTTTTGGCATTGGAGGAGTTAACCAACTTTACCCTCAGTGCTGATCTGGGTCTTTTACGGTCGCGGAGCGGCTGCGGCGCAACCTAAGCGCCAGCCAGGCAGCACCAGCGAGAAAAACAACCCTCTTCGTTTTTTTCGGGATGGTAGTTTGCGAGTTTCCTGAGAGAAGGGCAAACTGGGTGTCCGGTTTGGCATTTGGACAGATTCTCCCCCCCCCAAAAAAAAAACAACAACAACCTCGCCATCCTGGACTTTAAGAGAGAAAAAAAACTACCACTGACATTATTTTGTCCGTTTGGCACAGAAGTGCAGATTTTTTTGATGGTTAATATCGAGATAATAGGTGTACGCTTATGTGCCGTGTTATTGTTGTGTTAGTTCGGGGCTGTCATGTGTTTCCACGTGTCTTCGTGTTATTCAGGAATGTTTCCTGAGGTTCGGGGCGACACCGAGGGGCTGGGCCCCGGCGGGCCGCCGGAGACAGGTGGAGTCTGGGAAGAGGGGAAACGGACCTCCCGGGGGGGCTGACAGCTCACGGCCCGTCTAGACTCGGAGCAATCAGGGGATGGGAAGAAAAAAAAAAAAAATCAAATTCTTCGCGAGTGTGTCATGGTCATTGTTCTGATTTCAAAGAGCGTCTCCTTCACGTCCAGTACTTTTTGCTTTAAAACGCAGAGTTGTGAGAAGAAGACAAAAGGGAGACAGGACTGTTCAAAGCCGGTCTCCCTTCGCGGGGCACGGGCGATGGGCCGAACACACACGCCGACACACACACCCATGCGGACAGTGGTTGAAGCTCGTCAGCAGCCACAGGGTTAATACTGTCAGCGAAACTGTGGATTCATCTCGGGCAGCTCGCAAGTCATCTCGAGATGCGCATTACACAGCCCACGCCAAAAACCACGCATTCCTGTCCTGAGCAGCTATTTTTAAAAAGTGATTGTTACATAAACGTTACGTAAATTTAAATGAGCTCTGAGTCTTTCAAAGAACATCGCCTCGGGCGATTAAGACAAGCAGTCGATAGGCATTATGAAAATGCAAACGAATTAGGTAGCTCTTGTTGAGTCACACCTCGAGGGGAGACAACTATCTTACTGTATCTCATGAAGTTATGGTTATAAGGTGTACATAGTACATTACATATTTTTCTACTGTATTTGAGTTTCTGTGTTGCACTGATTCAGTTTATTGTTGTGTATTTGGTTAGTCACCTCGAGTTAGAGAATCACACATCAATATAATAGTAATTATGTCTCCCGTAGCTTGGTGATATGATAAGACCTAAGAACTAATTCGATTACCCAAAAATCCATATACGTATAGGTGTGCTCATGTTCATTTAGAAAAGTTAGCCATGAGAAAAGTAGCGGCAGCAGAAAGGTTTCTCTCTTGAAAGTGAGCCAATCAGGGGGTGTGAGCCCGTGACTGGTGAGATCGAGGTTCTGATCTGATAACGAGAGCAGGTCCGCTCTGTGCGGAGC